ACATATTTTACGCGTTGGTATACCACGTCAGCTGTTTTCCATTAATTAACATGCCACGTAAGCCAAAATTTAACGGAGGGACCAAAAAGGGGCCGGATTTGTAAACAGTAAGAATCAAAAAGGGGATTTTTTCGGTATAGGGACTAAAAAGGGGCTTTTTCCTATAGTAGAGGGACCAAAAAGGGTATTTAACCATAAAAATATATATTTATAATAGTAAATTCAAAATGGTACACAACATTATTTGATATATGATACATACCATATTAATAGCAAAACTAGTACACGTACTAATACGATATTGATAACTTTGACCTAATGAGTAATTAGGTGATCAACTCTTCTTATTTAATGGGAGGTGTGAGTTAGTATGTATCAATTTATTTGATATTACCTCAAATTGCATAAAACATTCAAAGATAAAAAGGTAAATACCAGATTTAGTTCTCAACATTTCCCATAAATACTAGATCTTGTCTTAACCTTTCATTTTAATGAAAAATGGTCCCAAACCTTTTCAAAATTACCAAACTTAATTCTAGGGTTGGTTACTTTTGTTAATTTTTGAAAGGAAATCTTAACCAAAATTTTGGTAGGTCTAATAAAAATTTTTACATAAATTTTCTTTTAACTTTCATTGTCTTAAAATTATTTTTACTAAAATTTGGATTCTTTACCCACCTTAATTCTTTCTCTTTTTTTTTGAAAAATGTTTGGGATTTTTTTTTCCTTTTAGGGTTTATGTACATGATACAGGTTGCAATCCTATAATTTGAGATTGTATTTTTATTTTATATTCTTTTGATATATTTTATAAAATGGTAACTTGGATGATAAATAATTTGTAATTGAAAAATATTTGAGTTATGAAATTCATAATATTGTTAAACTATTAAGTTATGTCAAAAGTTTTTAGGATTAAAACAAGGGCTTTGCATTAAGTATGTTAGAAAGAGAAAAGAAGAGGAATACTTTGAAAAAAAGTTTATTGCTTTCTTAAATAATATTGTATATACAATGATCTATATATAAGTGTTTACAAAGAGAATATTCTAAGGTATAAAATATTTAAAATAAGTATGTTCACATCTCAACATCCCCCCTCAAACTCAAGGTGGCTGTGATGGAACCAACTTGAGTTTGGAAAAAAGAGTATGAAAGCGTCCAAGAAAATAAGCCTTGCTGAAAAGGTTTGCTAGTTGATCAATGGAGCCAATGAAAACCAAATAAATAGTTCCTTATGCAACATGATAGCAAATAAAGTGACAGTCAACCTTAATGTGTTTAGTGTGTTCATGGAAGACATTATTATGAGTAATCTACATGGCACTCTAATTGTCACAATAAAGATTAGCAGCAAGTGATTGAGGAACACTCATATCTTCTAGTAGCCAACATAAGTTAAGCAACTTTGATATGGTGTCTCCAACTGCTCGATATTTGGCCTCTATGCTAGAACGTGATGGAACTATCTGCTTTTTGCTACATGAAGAGATTAAGGAATCACTGAGAAAAAGACAATATCTAGTGGTGGATTTATGATCATTAGAGTCTCCAGCCCAATTAGCGTTAGAATAAGCATGAAGTTCAAGAGATGAATGAGCAGAAAAGTGAAGTCCATGAAACAATGTTCCCTTAACATAGCAAATAATTCAAAGTACTATTGCACAATGAGTGGAGTGAGGAGTAGCCATAAACTGACTAATAATGTAAAATGCATATGCTATGTTAGGGCATGTTGTGGTAAAATAAACCAAACTACCAACCAATTATCGATGACGAGTAGAATCAAAAAGTGGAGAGCCATCTATAGGTGTAAGCTTGACATTAAGTTCAAGAGGTGTAGAAACACTTTTGTTATCGTTCAATTCAGCTTTAGAAATAAGATCGAAGGCATACTTTACTTGAGAAAGTAGGTAGCCAGCATCTAAAGAGGTGACTTCAAGCCCCAGAAAATAGCTCAAAACACCAAGATCTTTCATCTCAAATTTCTAACTAAAAGATTGTTTTAACTCTTGAACGCCTTGTTTGGAGGATGGTTAAGCTTAGGAGGTGGTTTCATATAAACTTCTTCTTCTAGGTCACCTTTAAGAAAAGTATTTTCTACATCCATCTGAAACAATTTCCATCTTTGCATAACAGCGATAATAAGCAAACTGTACACAGATGTGAGATGAGCAACTAGAGCAAATGTTTCCTCATAGTCTATTCCATACTCTTGTGTAAAACCCTTGTCAATTAATCGTGTCTTATAACACTCCACAGAACCATCAGATCTTGTTTTGATCTTGTACACCCATTTATAGCCTATTAGAGACTTTTCAATAGGGAGATCAACTAAATCCTATCTTCGAGTGTTCTCAAGAACCTATAATTAATCTTGCATAGCTTGTTGCCAAAAAGGGTTAGTAGAGGCCTCTCGATATGATTGAGGCTCATGTAACAAAGTAATAGCAAGAAAACAATAATAATCGCAAAGGTAGTTGGGAAGGTTTCTTACCCGAGTAAGATGACTCGAGGATGAGACAACAAGCTCATTTGTAGGCTCAACAACATCATATGCAACATCAACAGGTGATATAGATGAGGAAGTATAAGAAGGCTCAAAATTATCTAATGCATTATCAGCAAGCAGATCATCTTCTATAGAACTAGTTGGAGCATGTGGTAAGGCATTGTAGAGCTCATCAAATGTTCTTGCATTAGAATCACTAGGGAATAGCTCAACATAAGAATCAATAAAAAAATGGATGTTGATCAGAAGATGACACCTGAAAGTTTGACAACGAGGAAAACATAGTGTGTTCCTAAAAGACAACATGACGTGAGACTCGAAGTATTTGTGACATAGGATTCCAACAATGATATCTTTTATGTGTAATCCTATGACTCAAAAAACAACATAATCAAGTTTTAGGCTTTAGCTTGTTATGTTCATGAGGTGGAAGAAGAACAAAACAAGCACAACCAAAAACCTTAAGAAGATCATAGGCAGGAGGAATACCATGTAAACATTCGTATAAAAACTTATTATTAATGATTGATGATGGAATTTGATTAATGAGATAAATAGCTGTAAGAGTAGCTTCACCCCAAAATCACTTTGGACAAGAAGGCAAAATGAGTAGAGCACAAACAAAATCAAGGATATGTCCATGTTTGTGTTTGACTCGCCCATCTGTTAAGAAGTGTAAGGATAAGATTGTTGTGTCAGTGTACCCTATCATTTGAGAAAAGATTGAAGTTTAGTACTAAGATATTTAGTGGCATTGTCAATTCTCAAAACTTTGATAATTTAAGAGAACTAGGTTTTGACCATAGTAGCAAAATCAATATAAATTTGTGGTAACTCAGAGTGATTTTTCATAAGATATATATAGGTAAAACGAGTATGATCATCAATAAGTAACATAAAGTACTTGTAAGCCCCCATGGCAGGTGTTAGAGATGGACCCCAACATTAGAATGCATGAGATCAAAAGAAGCAATAGAAAGAGAATGACTACTAGAAAAAGATAAAGCTAGTTGTTTTGTAGATTGACATAACACACAATGCAAAGATTCATTTGGAACAAATCTTAATAAACCACGAGAGATAAGTGAATGAAGTTTACCGACCGAGGTATGTCCAAGTCGTGAATGCCACAAATGAAGAGGAGAAATGTTAGTAGCAGCACAAGCTTGAAAGATTTGTTGATATGGAATATGTAAAGACTCTAATTCAACAGCACAACATAGGGTTTGGATGAATCGATCATTTGGAAATGATGGTGTATCCATTTTATGATTAGTAATATTGAGATAGTTGAGCTAAAACAAACCCCCCACCTTGCGACCAGTTTTAAGAACTTGTCTTGTCCGTGGGTCCTGCACACAACCATGAGCAGACAATGCTACTTCAAGGCCAAGATCACATAATTGACCAATACATAGAAAATTATAACCAAGTTTTGGAACTAAGAGGGCATTTGGTAAAGTTAATGACTTTGTAGAAATATTACCAATGCAACTAACATTTATAGGGGAACCATCAGTAGAATAAATATCAGGAAAGGAATCATTCAATGACATTGAAGAGAAATGAGCAGTAATTAAAGACATATGGTTACAACAACTAGAATCAAATTATCAAGGTTTGGTACCTGGAGCAGTAGATAAGGCAGTAGGATCATTAAAAAGATTTAATATCACATGTTTTGAGGATTCAATATTGACATTAGGTTGGTTTATCAATTCTTTGGCAAACATAGCAATAGCAAGATGAAAGTTATAGTCCTTTCAAAACTCACGATAATGAAAAACTCTAAAAATATGAAGAAATAGATGCCAAGATCGAAATAACAAACCAACAAAAATACCTCAGAAAAGACTTGAGACTAGACAATTCAATCTGTAGGAGAAGAGATCCCAATGACAGAGTTTCAAGTTTGGAAAGGATTTGAAAATCCAACTCAAAAAACCAAACAGCGATGATAAAAGAGATGAACTAGGAGCTTATAGCTCTGATACCATGTTAGAAAGAGAAAAGAAAAGGAATACTTTGAAGAAAGGTTTATTGTTTTCTTGAATAATACTGTATGTACAATGATCTATATATAGATGTTTACAAAGAGAATATTTTAAAGTATAAAGTATATAAAGAGAATATTCTAAGGTATAAAATATTTACAATAAATGTGTTCACATCTTAACAAAGTAAAAGGCAAAGAAAAAATGAAAAAAAAAAAAGTATGACCTTTGGAGTTTCTCAAAAGAAAAAAAATATATACAGGGTTCATCAATATTTTAAAAACGAAATGTAGGTTTAGTGTTGGAAAAATATGGTTTAGAGTTTTTTTTATTATTATTCTATTTAAGGATTTTGGTAGCTTTGTAAAATTTTAATTAGGAATTTTTATTATGAATTTAACGAAGTGACTGATGATCGGATTAGATTTGGTTATTTAAAAGAGATTTGAAATCATTTCTAGTTTATATGAAAGGTTAAGATAATATCTAGTATTTATAATCAAGATTAACGACTACATCTAGTATTTATCCAAAAATAAAATATTATAATTTTATTATTATAATGATTTCTTGATCATGATTTTCTCTAACTCTTCTATTATCATACTTGATTAAATCGAAAGAATATCAATAGTTTTGAATCTTTCTTTACAAAACAAATTTTTGTCATGTGTCAATTAGTTGCTATAAATAGAATTCTAGTTATTAAAAATCCCTAAAATTAGACTTATTGGAATCGTCATTGATTTTTCTCATTTAAGTTGAACTATTCAACACCACATCAACAATTTTCCTGATTTTGTGAAATAATTATGGATTGCACTTGCACTATACCAAATTATGGTCATTAACCATCTTTTGAATTCCAGCTCTGTATAAAGAAATTGTGGTTATTGAATCTCTGTTAAGGACATATGGCATTATTAAGAAATTTTTTGAATGTATTGTAAATACTATGTTAATTAAATTTGTTACTTTGTATAATGCATTGCTGGGTCAAATGGGTAGCTAAGTGATTAACACTTCTTATTTAGTGGGAGGTGTGAGTTAAAATGCATCAATTCGTTTGATATTAGGTCACATTGCATAAAACGTTAAAAGAGAAAACATTATAACTCAACAAATTTTTAGCTCAAAATTTTAAGCGTTTCTTTTTCTTGGAGGGTAAGTCCCCTTGGCCCAAGGCCGAAAGGTGGCTGTGGCTGGTTGCAATGGAGATGGGAAGGGGGTGGCTGCAAGGGTTGCCAGCGGTCTCTTTTTCTGGTGGTGTTGGTGGGTGGGGGTGTGCATGACGGTTCCAAGTCTCTCACTTGGCTGTGGGTAAGCCTTGGTGGTGTTGCAATGACAATGCTGCTGGGCGTTTATGAAAGCATGTGATGGAGGGCTCGCATGATTTAATGGGGTTGCGAGAGTCTGGAAGGGGCGGCGATGGTGGAGAGAGGTTGCTGCTTGCTGCCATGGGAGTTGGTGACTTGGTGGGATAAAATTAAATTGGAAATGGGCTTTCCACCCAAAAATAGAGAATGGGCAGATTAAATTGAAAATGGATTGCTTCTATATTATCTCGGACTCGGCCCTTTACTTTTTTAGCAAACTGAATCTTTTCCAACACCAACAAATCTATCCTCCCATAAATATGTTAGGTTTTTGAGAAATTTTTGAGGAAATAATTGATCTTCTTATTTTTCGAGAGTCAATCGAGACCTCCCAATTTTTATTTGAGAGTTTCTTTCGGCCTTGATAAAAAATTGTATAAATGTTCTTGGGGCACACGGTCAATTATGAGGCATAAAAAAAAAAAAAAGAATTATTCAGTTTCCTTCAGTTAGGCATATATGTTAATGCAGGGATCAATGTTCATGCTTTTTCATGGTATTATGATATCTATTCATTTGTTGACAATATGTAGGGATATTGAGATCACCTGTTTCCAAAACACAAACAACTGAAGTAAGGATCTTGTATCTTTTGACTTTAGAGACGTAATATATATGATCTATCCATACTCGAGGGTATGTATGTATATAGATTTGAAGTTTGAATGATGGATGATGGATGGTAGGGCAGAGAAGACAAGTAGTTAGATGGTAGAATGGTAGGCCTTACTCACGTGTAGTCACATTTAACCTTAACAATGGTATTCTTGAAGGCTTGGAAGTTTGTTAATTTTGTCAAACAATAGTTCATAAAATACCTCGAGAGGAAAATCTGCCTTGCATTTTGTTCTGAAGTGCCTGCATTTAGAATCTGCGGTTCGAGCATCCATCTTGCTTGCCTCGGTGGTGGTGGTGGTAGTGGCGGTGGCTGTGGTGACTAGAGACTAGAAAGTTAGAGATGGGACCTGGTGGACCAGGAGGACCCGGTGGCCCTGGTGGATGGGGAGGAGGACCTGGAGGCCCTGGTGGATGGGGAGGAGGACCCGGAGGCCCTGGTGGATGGGGAGGAGGACCCGGAGGCCCTGGTGGATGGGGTCCAGGGCCTGGGGGTCCGGGTGGATGGGGTCCTGGCCCGGGGGGTCCTGGTGGCTGGGGGCCGGGGATGGGAGGACCTTTCGGTCCAGGTCCCGGAGGTCCTTGGGGTCCTGGACCTGGCGGCTTTTGGGGTCCGGGACCTGGGTTCTTCGGACCTGGTGGCTTCTTCGGTGGCTTTGCTGATGGTTTGTGCAGCATGATATCTTCTTGGTAAGTAAAGTAATCACTCCTTCCCTCTTCAAATTGAGTCAAAATGCTTTAATTCACTCAAAATTCTCATGCGAATATGTAAAATCATCCTTAATTGTGTTGAACTGATTGCAGCTTCTATTGTCTTTGCTGCTGTTGGTTATTACAAGACTGCTTTGGCGGACCTCGTGGCCCTTACGGTCCTCCCCCACCCTTCTGAACCTTCTTTTTCCGCTGGACAGAGGCCATTTGCGACTTGAGTGTTGTTCATCTTAAGACTACTGTGCATCTTATTTTGTTGTTCTTTTCAATAAGCAATGCATATGAATCACCACCTTAGTTATGTACTGGAATCAAAGCCGCGTTTCTGGCATTGCCTGCTTCTACAACCATTCTTCCTGTAACAATTGGGGTTGTTTTTATTTTTAAAATATATGTCCATGAAGAAATACAAACGAGGAGAATCTATTTTTGTGCAAAGGTTTGACCTGTTTCAATATAATAGTCGAAAGCCTGGATTGGCAATTAGCAAAATCGGATCTTGCTGCCACAGGCCTAAGAAGGCATAAGCAAAGAAATTGAACATTCCACTAATTTGATCTTCAGGCATGCAGTGATGCAATAAAGTACCACTCAAGCAAAAACTCACACGATAAAGTTAATAAAGTATTTCATTTAGACTTTAGTTTCTCCTTCAATGATCAAACAAAGTATGTTACCAAAGCAGACGGCATTTTTTGCTCGTGACACAAACAGTTATACTACGCATATATACGGGCTCATGTGGAAAACCAAAGGAATTCCACTACCTCGAAACCTTATTGCTGAACTTTCCGAGTCACAACAGCATGGTAAATAGCATCCACACGGTTCTCCAGCATCTGGCAGAAACCTATCAGTAAAAATTTAGGAGCTTTAACTACTTGAGATCCAAAGGGGAATGCAGTATTGCTAAAAGTAAACTGAAAATATAAGAACTAGCAGGCAGTTGTGGTTCTTATGAATTTCATCAATGAGTCCAAGTGTCATATGACTAGATTTGGACCTCTATTAGATTTACTCGCAAGCAATCTTAGTGTCAAAGCTGCTAAGGCATATGGCAAAAGCCTGGAAAGCTGAGATTGGATACTGATAGTCCATGGTGAATAAATCCTTCCCCACCTTTCCAAACTGGAGAATAACATTCTCAGGCTCATGCCCGGCAACTCCATTCTCTGGAGACGCAACAAGCTGAAAGTTCTTTACTGAAGCAATGGTTACCCGTCCATTGAAGTTCAGACACCAGCATTGGAGTTCTTCATGCCACCTTGGGGACTTATTCCTCAAGATCAGCATTGCTTCTTTTTGTTCTGATAAAGGACCAGACTGGAAAGTATCTGCTCGAGTTGATTTTGATCTAAAGAATGAAATGGATGGGAAACTGTCCAGATTGCCATGCACAAATTCAGTCTGAGTGGGAGCCACTCCTCCTGGCTCAATAGCAGAGGCTGGGATAGCATCCATGATGCATTGCATTCTCCTTGGGCCTCTGATTTCCAAAATATAATTCAGTTAGCAACTGACACACGCAGAATATTTCAAGAAATTATTCTTTTCAGTTTTTAAGGTTCCTCTATCAAAGCTTTTTTAGCCTCTTACCTAGAACCGAGGACATTCAACTCATATGAAATGTGTGCAACAGGGTAATTGCCTGATGGAACTCTTGGGGAGACTTGTTTCATATTAACCAGCCTAGTGGATCGGCTTTTAGTAACTTTTGCTCCAGTACTTGGAGGCTGTGCATCATAAATTGTGAACTTGGTCCCCAAAAAGTTTGATCTGTCAAACCAAAATGAGTGGTTAGCTTAGGTCATAGGTCCCAAAGGGCATAGAAACAATCAATTCCATGCCAGACAACAGTACCTTAATTTTCCAATGTAAGTACTGCTTCCTTTTGACACATCATCACAATTTAATGAGATGATATAGTCTGTCCAAGTGGGGCGTCGACACTTCCTTGCCACAAGAAGGAACTTTCCATCATCATTTGAAGCTGTGAAGAATTTAATAAAGGAAAAGAGATCAGCATTCAAATCTAAGAAGAAATACCCAAAGAAAAATAAGATCTTGACCAAAATTAGCAAGAGGTAAAGGAAACTAACTTTTTGCTAGTCTATGAATCAGCAACTCCAAATATTAATCCTTATTAACAAATAACATTAAAAATCACATCGTTACAAGTGAGATACACTTGCAAGTAAAGAATACCAAAACAAACAATAGCCACTCACTTTGGTTCAAGCCAAGGTATAGATAATAAGTTTGGTTGCTACGGCTTCGTTTTATGTAACACTGAATGAGAGAGTCCCTTGGGCCAGGCTGCAAAAGAGTTAACCAGAGAATCAAAACATTAGCTCGAAGGACTATAGGTGCTTCGAATATTAATCTCCTAACCACAGTAGTCTTTCAATCAAACATTTTCTACAAAATATGATTCCCCCAAATTGAGATAGCATCTAGAAGTCTTTTATGTTCATCACATCATGAAATATTCCTACAGAACAAAGTTTCAAACATAAAAAAAATGACTAAGAACAGAGTAGTCTCTTAAACGAAGTCCACTCTTTACCCTTCTTCCTGATTAATGACCCTCAACACCAAGACAAATATTCAATTTAGTGCCAATTCAAAATTAAGTTATCCTTGAACATCAAGTCTTGCTACAATTGTGATTTTGCTCAACATCTTTCCTTTTGTGTCGTTAATAATTTTTATCAAGATCTAAAAGAAGATGCAAAAGCCACCAGGAAATACAAGAGCAGCTGTGTATTAAACTTTAAACACTTGACAAATCGTATACATGTCAGTCAAACAATAACTTACATCTCAAAGAGAAAGTACGGGCTGATATCATCTAATAATACCTGCTTCAACGAGATTGGGAATGTCAGCTTGCCAGAAATCTCTGGGACTGTAACAATTTCCTTCAAAATTTCTCTCCAATTCCTACAAACACCAGCACAGGCAACCACATTCTTGCGGGGAGGCCAAGTGCTCTCTGATGCCTCTATTCTCATCAACACATCCCTCAAAAGCTCCGGTGGCATGTTAGCCCAGCAACTCTGCTGGAAAGCATCAACTGGCACTGAGTTATCCTGGACTACCCGGTGTGACCTTGATCTCATCCCATATCCAAACCTCATGTCAAATCCTTTTCTAGATATGTTCCCAATCTCCCCCTTCATATCCTGGATAATACTCTTAATCGACATCACGGCCAATTCAGTCCCACCCCTCCAAAATCAAACAATAACTGAAAATTCACTCTCAAAATCACCAATATTCTTCCAAATGTCTAATCAAACCACATCTAAGTCAAAAGACCTCAACTTTATATCCGAATTTTAGCTAAGAAACAGCAAAGAGCACTACATATCTGCAATTTTCCTCCAAAACACCTATCAATGCAAACGTAAATCCTCTTTTAAATCTCAAAGAGGATCAGGAATAAATAAACACAAAAAAAAAAAAACAAACAACATGACCCAGATTCCCAAGCATCATACCTAGACTGGAAGTGAGTGAGTAGCTAAGACCATAATTTTTTCTCTACAAAAATTACAGAAACAATCATATTCACAAGTAAAAAAATTAATAAAAAAACAATACTTAAAACCTAAATTTCTGGCTAAATTTCCATAATTTCAGGAATAAAAAAAATTACCATAATTTCATCTCTACCCATGAAACCCAGTAACTGAATAAAGGCACCCACTAAAAAAAATTCAACAAACTAGGAAACCATACTCAAACAACAGACCCCATAGATTTCTCCTAATCCAAACCACCAAACCAGATGGGTAATCTTCCTCATATAGCCTAGCTGGTAAATGGAGATGATTCATCAAACTTCAGGGATCAACAACATCAACAGCGCGCGCACAAGCAAAGAACTCGGAAGAATGTGTTGCAGAGAAAAAAGCACGGTTTGGGGTTTGGTGTGGGATGTTGCGCCGCCCCTTGGCGTGTTCGATTGGGACGGAACTCAGACCAAGATCAGAATTCTACTGATGGAATGAGACTTCTTCTTTTCCTTTATCGGGCTGGCGGGCTCTATCTGACCCGATTAAATGTTCATTCGGATCCGAGTTCGCTTTTTTTTTTTTTTTTTTTTTTTTTTTTT